TGCAGCAGGCTCAGACACAACCAACACTAACGCCATCCCAAACACACAACTTTTCCCATGACAGAGTAGATCAGACTAAGATTCTAACCGAAGGGGCATCCCATTTAAGTGGGCTGCAGCTTCAGGTGATGACAGACGAGAAAGGAGCATGGACAGGACCAAACCTGTGGTCTGGGGGAGCCACAGATGGAACAAGTCGTGACACGGAGTGACTGTCCCTGCAGAAGCCCTCCCTCTTCAGCTCCCTGACTCTCCACTCCAGCAGAGGACAGGGCTCTGGTGGGCAAATTGCCTCAAAAGCACACTGAAATGGGCAAATTCATTAGCCAAGCACATAGCTGTACAGTGAGAAACCTTACCTGAGCAAAATATGGGCACCAGAAGCCAAGGTAATGCCTTGGATGGTGGGCCAACATCATGTGAAATCTGGCACAAATTAAATCACCTCTACCCTTATCAGACATGTCTGCTGAAGTATGGTCTTTGGGTAACAACTGGGCTGAGCTCTTCTTATGTTAAATTCTGTAAAAACACAGAAGAAATTATGATCCCAGCTGCCAACTGGACCTCAGCTCCTCACCAGTGAACGGGGCACATGAGCCTTTTTGTCCACAATAAAGTCCACGACACAGCTCATTTCCAGCTCCAACACTAAGTCTGTGAACATTTATACAGGGTTGGGTTTTTTTTCAATATCTCCTTTAATGCCTCACATTCATCAAGCATAGAATCATAGAACCACAGAATGGTTCAAGTTGGAAGTGACCTGAAAGATCATCAGGTTCCAACCTTCCTGCTATGAGCAGGGACACCTCACACTAGACCAAGTTGCACAAAGCCTCATCCAGCCTGGCTTTAAACACTTCCAAGGAGGGGGCTTCCACAACCTCCCTGGGCAACCTGTTCCAGTGCCTTACTACCCTCATGGTGAAGAATTTCTTCCTGATGTCTAACCTAATTCTACCCCCTTTCAGTTTAAAACCACTACCCCTTGTCCTGTCACTACCCTCTCTGATGAAAAGCTCCTCCCCAGCTTTCCTGTAGCCCCTTCAGGTACTGGAAGGCTGCTATAAGGTCTCCTCTGAGCCTTTTGTTCTCCAGGCTGAACTGCCCCAACTCTCTCAGCCTGTCTTCATAGCAGAGGTGCTCCAGGCCTTTGATCATCTTCATGGCCCTTCTCTGGACCCTTTCCAACAGCTCCATGTCTTTTCTGTGCTTTTTCTTTACACCAGAACTGTACACAGAACTCCAGGTGGGGTCTCACCAGAGCAGAGCAGAGGGGCAGAATCACCTCCCTGGCCCTGCTGGCCACACTTCTTTTGGTGCAGCCCAGGATGCAGTTGCTCTCTGGGCTCCAGCACACACTGGTGGCTCATGTTGATCTTCTCATCAACCACCACCCTCAAATCCTTCTCCTCAGGACTGCTCTCTAGCCTGTATTTGTGCCTGGGGTTGTGCTGACCCAAGTGCAGGACCCTGCACTTGGCCTTGTTGAACTTCATGAGGTTCGCACTGGCCCACCTCTCCAGCCTGTCAAGGTCCCTCTGGATGGCATCCCTTCCCTCTAGGGTGTCAACCACACCACACAGCTTGGTATCAACAACAAACTTGCTGAGGATAGACTCAGTCTCACTGTCCATGTCTCCACAAAGGTGTTTAACAGCCCTGGTCCCAGTACTGACCCCTGAGGAACACCACTTGTCACCTCCACTTGGGCACTGAACCATTGACCACAACTCTCTGGGTGCAGCCATCCAGCCAATTATTTATCCACTGAGTGATCCATCTGTCAAATCCGTGTCTTGTCAGTTTGAAGACCAGGATATTGTGTGGGACAGTGTCTAATGCTCTGCACAAATCCTGTGATGCCTTTTGTACTGGACCATATATCTGAATTTGGGAGTAGCTGACTTAATAAAAACCATCTAAGATATGGCACCTTCGGTGAGACTTTTGTTTTCTGAGGTCTTTTATCCTCAGAGAGCAACCAGGCTCTGGACATGCAACCACTGCCCTCAAGTGGCATGAGCTGTGCAGGACCTCAGGGAGCTCCTCAGCTTTATACAGAGCAAGGGCAGCAAACTGTTGGAGGAGGATATTTGGGCCGTGAGGGGGAAAAAAAGACGACCATTTAAAGAACGTCTAGAAATTGACCTTTAAAGACCTGAGCCTGGAAAGCAGCCAAAAGAAGGAAAAGACACACTTTGCCCAGGGATGAAAGTAGAGCCTTGCTTGCCAAGCAGGGGGCTTCTCTGAGGCCAAAGCCTCCTCCAAGCCACGGTAGGTGAGGTGTCCATCAGGCAGACCAGCAGCATGCTGTGCACCCACTGCTCCCTCCTGCAGCCGCGCTCCTCGGTGGTCCCAGCCCCCAGCACTACCAGCAGTGCTTTAGAGCCCAGATGCAGTTCTTTGGCCAGGTTTGAATGTAGACCCCCTATCTCCAGTGCCCCTGTAAAACAACTGAATGTCCCAGCATGAAGCAGGGTGAAATAATGATCCTAATTTATTCTGCTTCTCATGACCAGTCCCTCCCTTGTCTCCCGTGGTATTTCCTACGTTAACTACTGGGAACCAGTAGGAACGCTTGAAGAAAAAACAACTAGCAGGCATTTTTTTAATTACTAGGGTAGCTGAAACATTCTTCTTCAGCCTTGCAAAGACAAAGGATGAGAGTGTTACAACATCGTCGTTTTAAAACCCTGAGCTGCACTGAGCCTGTGGGGAAAGCAGGGTCTGGGTGCTGCCAAGGCAGTGACACTTCATATCCACTTGGTTATTTGACTTGACCCTCTTGCATCTTCTGACAAAACTCAGCACACAGCCCAAAGGCAAACACAGTGAAAACAAGCATTTCCTTCGGGAGGCTAGGAATCTGCAGGAGAAAAACCTGAAGGGACAGAGAGAATGAGAGCGAGAATTGCTATGGGCTTTGCCCTGTGATTTCTCCTCATTCCTACGGGCCTTGCCCATGTGCTGCTGGGGCAGCCCTTACTTGTGCCTGGAAGATGCTCAGGAAAAGATGAAACACACGAAGTACTACAGGCCACCCTCTCCCACTGGCTTAGCCAGGGTCCCAGCAACCAAGCTGGGCAGTATTCTTTGTGACTACAGTGACAGATGTCCACGCACCTCCTGTGATTTCTGGGGAAGGGTCCTGGCCCCAGGAACAGCGGTGTGATGCTCACAGAGGTGTAAGGGAAGCTGCAGCTGCCGGTGGGTCTGCCCTGCATGGCTGCAGCCACCGCTCCTGCCCGCCGCGGGGGGATGCCTCTGCTGGGCTTCAGAGCTGCTCTGGGTGCTTTTCCGTCCTGGCTGCCGGCCTGGAAAACAAAGTTCCCAACCGAAGCGAGAGCAAGTGGGGAGGAACCTCTCCGACATTCCTGCCTGCCGCCAGCGGTGTTTCCAGGCGATGGGGCTGGAGTCTGAGCCTGCTGAGCTCCCAGATGAATACGAGTGAAGGACACATCACTGCACAGTCCAAATGCCCTTCAGCAAAAGGATTAGAGCTTGGCCATATTGCAGCAAACCTCCCTGGTTAAAATCCCTTCCCCAGTCCTGTACCAGAGAGAAGAAGACTGCAGTCCTGTAACACAGCAATCGTATAACCACTTTCCTTTCTAAAAGGCTCTTTGAGACCCAGGCTTCACCTTCTGCAAGCAGAGGACAAGATTTTGCTAAGGGAGAAAGACTTTTTGCAAGCAGGAGAACTGAAGGGTGCTGTCGCTCAGGGAGCTTGGCTGGGAAGAGATGGAGCAGCAGGTGACATCACTGAAGCTTCCTAGGGCCAAATCCACAGGCGTGTAAGGTAACAACATTCACTTTGCTCTTGTTTCTTGTGCTCAGCTCCGTGTTTCTAGAGTCCCACACTGGACCTAGGGGTTGCCTCAGGTTGAAGGCAATAAATTAGGTTAGTGAGAAAAATATCTATGGAGGGGTCAGGGAGCGTGGCCCTGGGGATGGGGCAGGCAGCCTGCCATTCCCCAGCATGGCAGATGCAGGAAAGTGTGTCCCCTCTACAGGGGCAGCAGGAGAATGAGCAGAGGTCACCTCTTTGCCAACCACCTCTCCAGCCTCTTCCTTCCTGAGCACCAGCCACCCAGCTCCTGCTTCCCTGCACACCAAAGCTCTGAGTGCACGTTGTGCTGTGCAGCCTTGTATCATAGAATGGTTTGGGCCAGAAGGAACCTTAAAGATCATCTAGTTCCAACCCCTCTGCATGGGCAGGGACACCTGTATTGAAAGCCTAAATACCTGGACATAAGTCCTGGGTAAAAGCTGTCTATTTGGCTTTGTTTGGAGAGCTTGAGCAATGCCTGCAGCCCTCACTGGATCATGGTGCAGGGCAGCTCAGGCTGTGAAAGCAACGCTGCTGTGCTGTAGCAAACACAGCAGAGGTCGTGTGAGGCTCCTGCCATGCAGAACCTCCCCTCAGTCTTGAGGGGAACAATATTTTGAAGAAGAGACATGAAGGCCCCTAATATTGTTCTAGAGAAACTACTAATCCATGGAGGAAGTTTCTTCCTAGCCCTCCTATCAAGGCCAGAAGCCTAAGCATTTTATAAGCCTTGTTAAAAATGAAGTATTCTGAATGCATCACACTTTAAAGCATTGCCTTCAGCAGTATCTTGTGGACAGAATTTCTGGTTTACTTTCCCTTGCATCAAGTGACTGCCTTTCCCAGGATGCCCACTGAGCATCCCTTTCACTCTCACCAGCTGTGCCCTTGTTCTCACAGTGGGAGCAGACACTAGAAGAGGTGGGGGACCAGAGTAGAAGCTACACAAACTGCTCAGTGTGTTACTGAAGGGAACAAGCTTCACAGCTGATTGCTCAAAACAGAAGTTTCTGTTTTAACAGCTACTAAATAATGAGAGTGGTGGCCTGAAAGAGATCTCGTCTTTTGCTTGCATTAATTTTATGCTATTTGGACTTCTGAATCAATCCCTTCCTCACCTTCTCAGCAACCTATAGAAGAGAGGAGCTCTAAGCTCTCAAGCAGGATGAAAAGAATCAAGGACACCTTAGAGAGTCCGGAGCTGTGGAGCCCAGGCCACATGCTGAGCACCCCTCTGACCAGTGCAGCACCACCATTTGCATTTGGCCAGCAGATGATGGACAAAGCCCTGAACGTGATCCTTATTGTGGCCCTCTTTGTCATCATGGTAGCTCTGGGGTGTACGATGGAGATAGCCAAGATCACTACTCACCTCAGGAAACCCAAAGCCGTGGCAATTGCTGTAATGGCTCAGTATGGCATCATGCCCCTGACAGCATTTGCACTGGGCAAGCTCTTCCAGCTGGGGGCTACAGAATCCCTGGCCATCCTGGTCTGCGGCTGCTGCCCAGGAGGGAACCTCTCCAACATCTTTACTCTGGCACTGAGAGGGGACATGAATCTCAGGTAAGGAAAGCTGAGTACATGTTCATTGCCAGGCCAATCTAGTCTGGTTCAGCAGCTAATTCAATCAACATTAGCAGCCCCCAAAAAGCTGGACAAAGACTGAAATACTAAGACTAGAATGTTTTTAAAGGACTCGTATTGCTCAATTAGCCAATTTGTCTCTGTTTTACAATAAAACAGTATTTTGTACCTTTCTGTGAAACATACAGCAGGCAGCTTCTGATGAGATGGGTGCAGGAACACTCTTTTGGCTCCACATAGCAGCATGTATAGCATATACCTGCTATCTATCCATATATTAGCATAAAGTTGTGTAAACTGAGCACCCTGTCTGAAGAGAATGCATCAGTGAGAAACACTGAACTATCAGAACCCCACAATCCAACAAACCTCAGAGATAAAACAAAGATCCAGGGGAAAGTTATCAAGCATCACTTGCTGTGTCACTTGTGAATTTCTGACATGTGAGGTGTACCCATAATAAGGGTCCTTTCTAGGCTGGTACAGAACTTGAGTCATCTTCCTCCCTCTCTATTCATGTCACATCCTTATACAACCTGCTAGTGATGGGGAAACCACAGTGACAGGTGGGGAAAAAGTGAGGTAAAGTCTTATATTAAAACCACATGTCCAGGTTAGTAAGAAAATGAGCCTATTTCATTAAAAATATTTCTTTTTTAAAGTGCCATTATTCTACTGAAGGGTCCTTTCTTCATCCCAGCATTGTAATGACCACATGCTCAACAGTCCTAGCAATTGGACTAATGCCTCTGCTTCTGTACCTCTACTCGGGAGGACTATATGAGGGTGATTTGGAGGGCAAGGTGCCTTACAAAGGAATAATCACCTCCCTGGTCCTAATGCTAATCCCTTGTGCCATTGGCATCATCTTGAATGAGAAGAAACCACAGTACACTGGCTTTATCATCAAGGTAAGAAGTATCCTGTGCTAGCTGCTTTTCAACCAAGGGCCTCCAGGAAGTTTTCAAAAATAGAGGCACAGAAATACTAACTTTTTTAAGGCATGTCACAAATTAGTTAAAGGATTGAGGATGGAAATCAAGACACCCACTTCACTTTAATCAATAAAATGTTTGCCCAAAGACAAGTCCTCCTCCTTTTCCAGACCAACAACATTTTGTAGGCAACTTCCTACCTTGCTTTCATTTGTTGGCTTCAGTGTTAGCTTCATTTTCTTTTCCTACAAGCAGCACTAAAGAGCCTCATAGACACTGTCCCCAACTAGTGATGTAACCAAAACAGACCCCAGATTTAAAAAAAAAATAGAACATAAACCAAGCAAAAAAACAACAACAAAGCAAAACAGAAACAAAACAACAACACAAACAAATAGCCCTGCTTCTTGCAGAGGTCTAGCATAGGGTAAAAGTCACATCACAAATTGCTGCTTACATCAGTGAGATATCTATCTGGCTGAAGACACTAGGTCCCTAAGTACCTTCTTATGCCTGGAATCTGCTCCTTGCCCCCTTTGTACATCAGGCATTTAAACAACAAGAGGGAAATCCAGACAACCAACTAGACCAGTGTCTAACTCATGAGCTTCACTAGCAGTACCCAGAGGTCTGGTAATGACTTTGTGAACCTTTTTTTCAGTTTCTTTCACAAAGGCTCAAAGAAGCTGGGACCAAGCACAGCGGGTACTGGGTGCCAAGACACAATCATAACAGACCTGATAAAATGACATTAGGAACCACTAACCTCTAAGAAACATGGGAACCCAAGAATCAGGCTTGAGCAGAGACAGGAGAACCATAGCTCTTCAAAGTTTCATGTACTCAGCACAGGGCAGTGACAAGTGGACTTTTTCCAAAGAAGCTTTAAAAGCTTAGCATGAGAAGGTGACCTACACTGGCCTAGCTGATCCTTGGATCATGCTCCTTTCTGCTAACACCATGTTTCCATTTATCTTCTCTACAAAAGAGGGAAGGGGTAGATACTTCCTTTTAAGAAACACCTGGGGAACTCCATCCAAATTGAAATGCAAAGTGGAGAGACAGGCAGGAAAAGCTGTGTATTCTGCCTCCCAAAATTCCCCAGCTCCAACATTTGTTGAATCACCAGACACCAATGAAATGATCTGCAAATGCAGCCACCACCTTCCACACCTGCTGTAGGCAGGCTCTACCTGTGAGGAAAGGGATTTCTTCTCCACCTGCTATGGGTGGACATGACACACAAAGGGACCTGGACAGAGTGACACACAGCAATGCCTGAGAAACAAGTGGTTGGTGGAGTAAGCACCAGTTGTCTTGCATATAGACTGGAAAGGTACTTAATTATTTAAGGTTTCTTGTAACATCTATGTCCATGAAAGGCACTTATGCACACGCTATACCTACATATGTGATGGATGGGGAGCGGGGCAGAGTTGCTTCCAGTGGCTGAGGCAAATTTTGCTGGGGATTTCCCTCTTGTCCATGTCTTGACCACTTTTATTTTAGGCAGGGATGGTTGTCCTTCTGCTGTCATCTGCTGCATTAATCGTTCTGTCTGTGGCCAATGTGGGAAGTGGTATTACGGTCATCTTGTCACCATCCCTCTTGGGATCTTCTGCCTTGATGCCTTTTATTGGATTCCTGCTAGGCTATGCTCTCTCCTCAGTCTTCAAACTTAATGACCGGTATGTTTCACCACTCCCTCCTCCCCTCTTTATCACTGAAAGAGCAGAGAGGTACACAGCTCTGGTCTATAGAGCAAGGGTGAAAACCTGTTTCAACATGGATGTACTTTTGTGAAATAAACAATTATTGCAGTCCTCCAAATTCGGCCCAAGGAGTATAGCAGATATGATGCAAGTTGGTCCCAAGTCAATACTCCCACACCTTGAGTGGGGATAGGAATTAGTTCAATCTCTGCTCAGTGGAGACAGAAGAAGCAACTGGAGCAGTTTTTGACACGACTACCTGATCATCACCAAAGGAGTGGAAGTCCATTACACAGGTTAATTGAACAAGCAGATGGATGAGTTTGACTTGAGTTCACTAGTGACCTGATAAATGTACATTACTAGCCTCTGCTCTTAGTAAGAAAGTTGGGGAGGAAAGAACGAATAGCACCAAAGTACAACAAAGGATTAGGGCATACCAACAGAGACCAAACCCCAATCGGTGTGTTCAGCCGAAACCAGGAATTCAGAACAGAAACCTTGCACATAAAACCCACTCCTTTCCTTTCTCATCCTATCTAATCCAGGTAGAAAGTCCTTCCTATTTTCTACTACACACCTTGTACTCCTCTTTTCACCTCAGAAGCAATTCCTTCCCTGGGGGAAGCTGCAGCACCTAAAGCAGGACACAAAACCTCCAAACACCATTAAGCACAAGTCCACATTTATAGTGTGACCTGTCTCTGTGCAATGCAAGGAGAACACAAGACAAAACCTAGGGCTGCCAGTATCACTCCTAATAATGCCCCTTTTAGCACAGGCAAATGAACAGAGCATTGCAACAGCCAGGTGGGCAGCTATCTTCTGAAATAGTTTACAGATGGATTAAATTGGTAACCTGTTTTATGTTTCCTCCTTCAGGTGCAGGCGGACAGTCTGTGTGGAAACTGGCTGCCAGAATGTACAGCTCTGCTCAACTATCCTCAAGGTTGCCTTTGCCCCAGAAACTATTGGCCCCCTGTACTTCTTCCCACTGCTCTACTTGCTGTTCCAACTTGGAGAGGGACTTCTGCTGATCCTCGTCTTCAGGATCCATGACAGAATAAAGAAGCCAGACGGTAAGTACAGCTCTGCTCCTGTATTTCTCATGCTTTGCAATGCAAACCACATATGTATTATTAGCAACAAATTGCTGCTTTCTAGGGGCGGAATCAGGTTGCCCTTTAAGTCAGTTTCCATGCCAAATGCATTAAATACAAATCAGTTTAAAAGTTTATAGCTCATTGAAGACATTAGTAATTATGACTTCTTGCAGCAGGAGTGTTTCTCATACCTACACACTACTTACATTATCAGAGCCCAATGTTTTCAAAGCACTGTGCTTAAACTAGGTCAGGCACCCAGCAAAAGCTGTGATTTGCACTGAGCATGTGTGAAGAACAATCACACACCTCCAACTACCCAAGAACAACAAATTTTCCTCGCAACCAAGTCCAGCTTCACTGAAAACACTAGATATTCACAGCAGGCTGGCAGTTTTGGAGCTGGGGGGAGGAGGAAAAGGGCAGAACTGTCATGTGCTGCAGCTGAAGGAAGTAACACAAGGATCTTTTGCTAGAGAAGTACAGTAATAATTCAAGCTTACTTAAAATATACAGTAATAGTATAGATGTGAGGTAGATTCTTTTCCAACTTCAACTGGTCCATAATGCCAAAGCCCAGCTGAGTGCCTGCAAAGATGGCTGGAGAATGCACTGCTGAATGAGATCCTCCACCAGTCATTTCTCTGATGTTTCCAGACCAGCTTTCTCCTGTCCCCTGGGATGGAGAAGCAGCTGAGCTACAGGGCTTCACCAGATCCCACAGCTTAGTTTCCCCAGTAGCATTTTTAAGGGGAAAAAAAACCCAAACAAAACCAGCAGTTGATACTGGAAACAGCCATACAGGTCCTTGCAAGACTACTATAAAAAGGGTTTCCAGGCTCAAATTCATAAATTACAAGACACAAAAGAGCTTAAATATTTTGACAGGACTGGGGTGAGAACTGCCTGTTCTCATGATATTTGTCTTTTTCTTCAGATGCAGCAAAAATTATCTGTACAGCTGTGGATGCAGTTAGTGCTCAAGAAATAAGAACAGAGTCAAGGCCCTGCAGAAATAGTGGGCAGCCAGGGAAAAAATAGAGATATTCTGCAGCAGCTGCTCTCACAACCCTTCTGAACTCCACCTCCTGCAGCCAACTTACAGGCCCCCAGCACTTCCATTTAAGACTTTTATCCATATCCTCATTTTACGACAAAGGGATCGCCACAGAGCTACCTGCAAACTGTCACTTCCTGAAGACCTTCCTCCAGACAGATCCACTCCCTTCCTGCCCATGAGGAAGACTTCCAATGACTTCCAAGTCATTGCGACAACCCTTTGAGACAGCTTAGGGTCACGCTCACGTGTACCGTTTTGCCCATATGAAAATGACTGCCCACATCAGCTCCCTTTTTAACTTACCTGTAATTGTCCCACGGGCACATGTCAGAAGGAGCTCTCAAAGACATCACTGAAGATTCTCTAACGAAGATCCAAAATGAGGTATAGAAGTTTCTTAATGCAGGAACACAACGACCCACCACAGAGCTGAGCAGCTCACGGACTGCTGGTCGCTCCTGTTTTTCAAAACCCGAGCACTGTGTGGTGGACCACAAACCTCCACAAAACCTGGCCATGGTTAAGCGAACTGCCATAGTGTGTAGAATCTGGGTACAGCTTGCTGGTCCCAGCTGCAAATAGAAGTCTTGAATGCGCCGTGCTTTGTAGTGGCCAGTGAAGTAACCATGCCACCTCTGCAGGAAACCATCTATTGTCACACTGCAAATACGAGTGTAAGGGAAGATTAGCATTAACACCTCCAAACATGCTAAGCGTGCACTGTAACGTGAAGTAGTCAATCTTAACTAAGAATAAACAGGTTAGCATCAATAACCCTCTTCTTCAAGCCCTCTTCTTCCTCACAGAATCACAGAATATTAGGGACCTCTGAAGACCATTAAATACAACCCCCCTGCCAGAGCAGGACCCAAAAAATACTAGGGCAGATCAGAAAGGCATCCAGACAGGTCTTGAAAATCTCCTGAGAACGAAACTCCACAACCTCTCGGGAGCCTGTTGCACTGCTCAGTAACCCTCACAGTGAAGTTCTTTCTCATGTTGAGATGGAAGTTTCTGTGCTTGAGTTGGAATCCACTGCACCTCCTTATCACAGGACACCATTGAAAAGAGCTGGTCCCTGCCTTCTTGATGCCCAGCCCTCATGCACTTATAATTAGATCCCCCTAATCACCTCCTGATGTGATCTAGTATCTGAACTACCAGCCTCTGAGAATGAGGCCTCCCACTCCACAATGCTGACTAGCAATAATCCAATTAACCTCCTATCAATCTGGCCGCCCCTCAGTGCCTGCTCCCAGGAGCACTTAGCAGATCGTTACACTGCCACCTAAAGCAGGCACAAGGCACAAAAGCTGTGAGCTTGGAATGGTATGTTCAGAACTGTGCCCCACTAGGGACAAAACGCAGAAGGGCTTGCAGAACTAACCCCTTCCCAGTCCTTGCTCCCAGCTGACCCACCCTGCAGCTTCGCAGGATCTAATCCAAAGCCCAGCCCAGCCTCAAGGGAGTAGCTATACAAAGCACTTTATCAGAAAACTCATTATTTCTTATTATTCTTATTTCTTATTATTATATCAAACGAGGAGTTGAGAAGTACAGGGATTGCAAGGGGTTGCTGCCCCTGTAAAGCAGCAATACTAAAAACAGAGGCTGCAGTACCTCCCCCATCAACTTAAGAATCCCTGCTCTTCCTCCAGAATGACTAATGCCTGAAAAATGCTGCACCTACACCTCAATGTCCTTAAACATGTGTTGTGCATGTCAATAAAGCATGCCAACTACATTCATTCCATGCTTATTATCCCAACGATTAAAACCTAAATGACTTGTGAATTCCACTTCCTGCTATAAACGACAGCATCACTCTCCTTTGAGTCAAGGTTATTTCAGAACATACTGGTACTTCCTTTTAAATAGAGCCTGCTATGTCCTTACATAAGCTCTTCTCCTCGCCCAAAGCAAGTCAACAATAGCTTTGCTGTAGACCCATCTTTAAGAAAATGTCCAACATGAAGAGGCATCACAAACACTTTTATTAACAGAAAGAAGCAGAGACATGTTTCTTTATACTTTATTTGAGGAATTCAGTTAAGTATCAAGAATTAGGGTGCTTTATAGAATATCATTACCACAGGGCAGTGAAATGACCATTTTCTTAGTGTAGTGCAAGTTAATATTAAATGAAAATCTTTTAAAGTTTTATTACCAGTACTGATCAGCACTTAATCTGCTGACCTATAACAGAAACAATGGTTCAAAAGCACAAAAAAATACCTTCTGAAATAAAGCTTTATGTACAGCACATGTAGAGCTCTAAGACGCCTAAAGCTTATAAGTTTGAGATATTAAAACTAACGTTCTGAGTTGCTGTTCACAGTTGAATAATCCTGGAAATTAAGTGTTCCAATGACTTTTCTGCAGTACAGAAAAATTTGTCTGCTTTAGTTATAAAGAGCTCTGCCAATATACACAAACTATACACTTCAGACATTCACAAAAAGTGTGAACAAGAAAAGGGTTATCAAAAAACATTTAATACAATTAGTCAATAACCCTTCCCACCATGGTCCACATCTACAAAGTTCCCCCATCCCTCCCCCCTCCCCTTCCAAACCCTTTCCCACAGAAAGTCACATACTTACCACAAGTTTTAGCAAGTATGGTTTAAAAAAGGGCCCCCGGGGTAAGTTACTTATAGTTCAGTTGCCACTGTCAACCGATCTGGACCTTGATCTTGACCTTTGCCGATCCACGGATGATGGGGATTTGGACCTGCTGGAAGAGCCCCGCTTCTGGCTCTTCTCTGGCACTGGGGATCTGCTAACCGACCGTGACTTGCTGTGGCTCCTGCTCCTCGACCTGCTGTAAGACTTGCGGCTGCGGGAACGGGAACGGCTGCGAGACCCAGATGAGCTTCTGCTACGAGAGCGTGACCTGCTCCTGGACCGACTGGAGGAAACACGGAGCAGCAGCATTAGCAAGGGAACGCCACGGACTGCGGCAATGACCAGATAGCTCACTGGTCTCCAGTTCAGCTGCCTGGTCACTGACTTTCAAAGCTCTCTTAGTGGACATTTAATCATCTATTTAAGAGAGCAGAAATTCATACCTGTGCCTTTTGCCGCCTTCAATTAGTTTGATTTTCCTTCCGTTAATTTCTTTACCAGAAAGCTTGTCAATAGCATTCTTTAAATCACCGTAAGAGGCAAACTCAACCACCCTACAGAATAACACAGAGCTCATTACAAGCTGCATTTTTGATGACAGAGCAAAATATACTCTGGAGATGAAAAAGAACAACTCCAAAACACACAATGCTCAGTTTAGTCATCCCTTGTCATAACTCAAGCATGAGCTGAAGAATTCTCCTCCCCAGAGAAGTGTTTTCAAAGCACAGCTATATTAAATCATGAACAGCTGCTCAGCACTAAAGGCAGCCCCTGCCCTCCCCAAATATGACACATGCAATATAACTACAGCTTCCAAGACATTACTTTAGATACTTACCCTTCATTTAACTTAGGTCTGTGTGCATCTGCAAAGGTTACTTCCCCAGCTTGTCTCATGAAGTCTTTGAGATCCTAACACAAGACCAGTCATGTTATGCAAAGAAGTGTAATTAATACTTATCTATATAAAAATAGTTAAACAAAAGGAACTTATGACTACTGAAAGAGAAGACGTTATATAAATTACAATCATGGCAATTGCCATACTTGTATTCTATCAAAATTGAATTATCTATACTGGGGCACGAAATAAATGAAAAAGCATCTTGCTTTAAGCAAAACGCCAATTAACATTAAAAGAATTTTAGCCTATAATGATTGTATAGATTAAGTAAGAAAGAGAAAGAGACAGAAAAAGAAAGGAAAAAAGAAGTACATTTGTATATATACTGAATCGAGTGTGAAGCACTACCCACGTATTTTTGTACTATTTCAGTCTCCATTTACATTACAAGTCTTATGTGCATACAGAATTACAATTACGTAACACCAATTATTTTGTGCCCCGTATGTCATTAAAAATATAGTTTACTTTACCTTTATTAATATTTCCCTAGGCTAGCCAAGCAGCAAACTGCATTAAGCGACCGGAGATACCGCCATGATATATGCCCGACTGGCTCTTCGCCACCCACTTGACGAACACTACCCAGTCGATGGAAGCCACTAATGGCACTGCCCTCCCTATTAGGAGACTAGTGACGGATCCAGACATTCTCTATGCTTGATGTTACCAAGGACCACTTTACTGCGATCAGGATTCCAACGACCACCTAATTTCGTATCTTTCAACTCTTTTCGACCAGGGCCTCGGAAGCGTTACAGGAAGAACAGCTCTCAACTTAGGAATCAGATCTCGATAACGCTCTGGGATCGCTGCAATGTGGCACTTTAAGGAGTGCATCGATTACGTCTAGACCGGCAAACACAGATCTAGAGGTGGCCAAGTGACATTGTAGGAGCTGACTGGAAAGTCAACCAGGCCCAACCAAGAGTGACCAAGACAGAACGATTAGGATAACCCACAGGCACTCCTCGTCATAAGGCCAACGACACAGATAGGCTGGCAAATAAAGGGTTTAATATGTGGTTAAAATGGATTTTAAAAACATGAAAAAATAAATATATATCCTCAAATATATACTATTATTATAATAAGTTAAAATTAACTAGTTTTCATTAAAAACATTTAAATTAAGTTAATTACAATTACATTAATTGCATAGACGTTTTAATATATTATCTTTAAATTTTAGTTATTTTACAAAGTAATTACATTACATACCCATTAAATGAAGTCAAAATAGTTAATTATTTTTCAACAAACCTGCCAGCTGACTCGAGAAGACAGATTCTCTACTATGAGGCGATTTTCTGTTCTTAAAGGTGGGGCATTTCTGTTTGGAAATGAACAATCAAGACTCCTCATTAGTAATTAAAATATAACCACATTACTACTAATAAGTGCTGTACCAGTAACTAGTATCAGCACGTCATCATTACTTCTGTAA